TTCAGGCGATAATGAGAAAGTGATACGGCTCTATGTTAAAAAGAAACCCCAGAAGAGAAGGTGAAGATACACAGCACATCGTCGCTGCACCTGATACTGAAATGCTAGACGCGATGAATCAACAGAAATTCACTTATTCTGGAGACCCAAATATATGTGGTGCAGCTCGAAATTTTGCATGCAGACTGCACATATCGGGAAAGTTGCATTTTCCACGGGACACAGACAAGCCATCTTATCGGAATCTCATTGGCGCGTGACTGACTGGAGTGCGCTGAAAGCCCTCTTTTCATAGTGAAAACACCCCACTCGAAAGGTGTTTGCACTGCATTACAATCCCAGTCGTGAATTAAACTTCCTCAGCAAACACCGGAGTTTTCCCTGCGGAGCATTATCGTGAGCGATGCACAAGATAAGGGTGGCTCACTTACTGCTCATACGTGACTCAAGTATATTGAGTTTCAAATTGCACTTTTTCACCCCGCGCTGCAAATCTTCAGCTCAACTTCTTCCTGTTACACTTAAAACTGTAACACTCTCGTCTGGACGTGGCGAGCACACAATGTCATTACCCAGTCTCAAGTCCTAAAGCCAAGATAGGGCGATAAGCTTAACTAGGCAATTAATATCTGGTTTACTTCTAGGTGAACTACGTAGATTCTCTCTAAGAAGGTGTGATAAGTTTGAGTCTTTTAAAATGCAAAATGATTTTATAATTCCACCGATAATAGGGAGCAGAATCTGGAGCGTTTTTGGTCTTGACAATACCTAAACTTGTGTATTTCTAAAAATTCTTATAACATTTATAACGACGTCACGATGCAGACAAATTCTTAGCACTGCTTAACCCGGAGCAAATTCTTGTTTTCTTGTTAAAATGTACTCAACTTAGCAGCAGAATAAAAGGAAAATAACGAGTTCTTAATTATCTACAAAATAGTTTTTAATTTCTTTATGGGCTCCTTTCTGTCGCTCAAGTCTACCTGATCTTTCTTAAAAAAAAAAAACACATAAAGAGATGGATTTTTGGCCAGGACTTTCAGTCTAAGCCAAGTGTTATTAAGCGAAAGTTGAAGCAAGTCAGCACTGAGTCTTGAAATATGGGAATCGCCCAAGAAGAGAACACTCCTCTGGATCTCAGTGTGAAACCCGAGCAGCAACTCAGATACGACCCAGAAACTCTTGCTCTGGCGCAAATTCTGCTGAATATGAAGAACTCGTCGAAGGCTTCGAAGACGCGTATATACAGCAAGGACGAGTGGATTGCGGTGAGCGGGTTGCTTATGCTCAGTCAGAGTGGTGATCAAATGAATGGCAAGAACGGCATTGTGAAGGATTCTGATGGTAAATAAAATTTTCTATAAAATGCAATTGATGAGAATTTCAATTAGTGGCTGCAATTGGATTTCTGGAATTGTGATTTGAATTTGGCTTTTGTTTAAGAAAATTGGAAGGGTGTCGAGTGCGATTTATTGTCCGCGGAATCAATTTCAATTAATCCCGAGGATCTCTATTCATTACGCGGTGTTGGAAAATTACTGAAAGGGAGTGCGATTGTATCAGCGACAAAACAACCCCTTATCGTCAAATTGACTTCAATTTAAATTAAATTCACTGCTTCACTCAATGGCGCACGCCTCGATGTGAGATGCTCATAGAAATTGTGTTCATCTCTGGGCGAATTTCGCCAGCAAACTAAAAGGAGTAGCAGACTTCCGTGGCTGAAAAAGAAACACTTTAATTCCGAAAGCCCATATTCCACTTCTCACACATAAAATCCCATCCAATTTCTCTTCTCGCACCACTTTTAGTGCCTCCAGACCCGCGCGTCTCAATGCGATTGTTTCTGATATCTTCCAAGCTGAAATGCGGGGAGAAATTGTAATTTTATATTAAAGCTGTTCGCTCCCAAGCCATCATCTCACCCCCAATGGCAACATATAGCGCCACTTTGCCCACTTCAGCCGCCCCGCAAAAGAGGTGAGCGCAAGGGTGAGTTTGCGGAGTTGTTTTGTGCCATTCACGGGAATCGATATAAATTCCAATATGGAAAGTTTGGGGCTTGATGCAGATTGGACGTGTATTAAAATATTCGCCCTGAGATACCTCGGAAGTAATGTATGTACATAACAATACATCCGATCCATTGAAACACGCTGCGGCTGCCCTAATCCTTTCACTGGGTTGTTCCCACCGTTCATACACTCGCTATTCAAAGCAGCCAAATATTGAGTGCCGATTTTCACCCACACGAATTCGGGCTTAAGGATATGTTCACATGTCTTAAGGCATTGGTTTTGAGTTTCGCATTTCCAGACTCTTGACGCGACCTTTCGCTCTTCTCTTAAGTTTCATTGTTCGCTAGATGATTGTAAAATGTAGTGAATACTGCAGAATTGTTAGCAAATAATTCTGCCAAAGTCCATTTCTTGAAAATTATCGCGGGAGCTCAAAATGAGTACACATTTTATCTCTTTTATTATGACCACCATATGAAGATGTTCAATCAAATAGAGAGAACCAGAGAATGACGTCGTATAAAATGGGTAATAAAGGAACCCAGAGCTTGATTATACGCAGTCATATTGTTAATGATTCTCCAAAGGATTCTCTGGTAGTATTTGTACATCCAGCATTTAATGGCGAGAGATTTTTCTCGGCATCGCAGAACATATTTTGCCAATGGCAAAGAATGCTTAAGACTTTTCATCTGTGAGATCGTAACTAAATGACGAAGGAATTTAGATGAAACTTTATTGCTTTCGTTTAACCGTTTCCGAACAAAATTTTTCTACAAAAATGTCTAAATTGAAACTTTCTCTTACACATTGGTAGCCAAGAGGGTGATAATTATAAATATTATGTTGAGCAAAAATTTTCTTTTATTACATTTCTCTCACGGAACATGCGGAACAAGGAACTTTTAAGTCTACAAACGCCTTCGTTCAGCATCTTTTTGTCCGCTTTTGATGTGCTTGCTGTCTTCCAATGACTCTCCAGGTCATCATCATTACTTCTGTGAAGGAGAAAAAAAAAAACTCGTGCTGTGGAAAAAGCATATCGATTTTCTTAACATGCTACATCATCAGTTTATTCTTCGTGTCCAGAAGCCTTAGTGTTCACCAAAAGTAGAAAGCTAGACATAGTTTTTATCAGAAATATAAAGTTTATAATTGTTTATTGCAAGTGACATTTAACATTTTCTGGGTAAGGAATTATTTTAGATGCAAATTTATCCCCTGGAGAAAGTTTTGCTTGTGTTTTTAGGAAATCCAGTGCACTTTGTGTTATTAATTCGAATGTGATTTGCAAGAGAATTTTTCATAAACGAAATTACCTTTCACATGAGGCATGAAATTAATTTGGGGCCTTTGAATTTCCTCGAAATTATTGTTCGATAAATAGCGATGTTGTTGACTTAATGCACAGGTTGTTTGTGTCATTTTGCCTCTGTTCTCGCTCACCTGTCGCACCTCAAACAAACAAGTTACGGCCGCATGATGGAAAATTGCAACTTTATGAGAGCATTATAAATGACAAACCAATTAACTGTTATTTGAGGTCCAAATACGCGACTATGCGATGCGGGCGGATCTCCAATTGCCACCCATCAAAGTGCATTTGGCCAGATCAAAAAGTACCATGGAATGACCGCACAAATGAAATGATTACAGTATCGGGGGCGCCGCCCATGGGGGGACTGATGTGGGGTCGAGTGGGTGGCGATGAGGAGCGACATTTCTTCGTATTTTATGATCCATTTCCCTAGCATGAAATATTCACGGGGCCCCCGTGATGCCACCAGCGCCCGAAGGGATGGGAGATGGCGAGAGGAAGAGCAATTGCCACGATGCTCCGCCGTTGGTATGTACACTTCCATCATCAGGTGATTTACGGTTCAATTGAATTATCGTAGTCATGCTCACTCCACGCATTTGTTAGCATTTTTGCGGGGCGGACGCTGCGGCCGGGCGACATCGGAGAGGTGGACGGAAGTGAATAAAATGATATTTCACTGTGTGGCAGATGAAAGTTGAGGTCCGCCGCCACTTTGCAGTGCATTTTAATGAATTTCGGTCGTTTTGATGCACTAAAATTAATTGCTATTGATATGGAATTCAATTAAAGTGGTCCCTTTATGCCCATCATCCAATAATTCAACGTCTACACACGCAGAACACTGTCTCATTCCCATCCTCTTTAAAAGTTTTCCCCAAAATTCAACAGACTCGGTAATTGAATGGCGCGCAAGCATATGGATATTTGCAAATCATTGCAGGAATAATTTATTTATTCACCTCGCATGATATGATTTACTATTGACTGTACGTTCAACAGTAAATGAAATGCCAGCGGGACGAAACACTGACTGATCATTAACATGCTCCTCTGGTAAACTTACATTCCAAATAACTCTGAGTTATCTCTAATGAATCTCAGTTTGAACAAGGAATTATGCAAATTTTTCGGTAAATTAGAAAAATTCCCCAGATTGTTTGTCCACGCAGATGTTTGTGCTTGCAGGGCGGAATTGGGTAATTCTATTCCTCACCAAACAAAAAAAAACCAAACACCCAAATGACTACTATTTAAGCCTGTCTATTTATTCACTTTTCACGAGCGTGTCCTTAGATAAATAGACTTCCATTTTTCCACGAGCACCAATCGATATCTCAAGTCTGATTCTGGAAAATTTACAATGATTTATCTAATGCTTTCTTCCTCCCCTTTTTTTTCTCCCAGGTATTCTATGTTGATGAAGCGAGTTTGCTCTGTTCTCACGATTCTCGTCTTCTTTCTTCATTTCTTCTGCACTCAACGAAATTTATTTACAGAACGCAGAATTTTTGTGAAAAATGTATGTTTATCCAAATTATAATCCCGAATATGGTATTCGTAGAAGCAATTCTCTGAGATTTAACATTTGGCAAATACTACACTCGGGAGAATCACAGATTCTGCTGCTAACCTGAGAGTTGTCTTCATCCATAAACAATAAATTCAACAATAAACAATAGTGTATATTTATTCTGAGTTCTGTCTTTCATACTACCAGTGATAAAGTATTGGATTGTATTTCTTGCAAACGGTAACATTGACGAGTGAGTGCAGAAGCTCTTCTCAGTGCTTCTCTTTGTCCATGGCGATGAGCAGAGGCGGCAGCGCTCCTCGCAGTGCCTTGAGTCTCTTGCTCTTCTCCATGTGGCTGAGGTTCTGCGTGGACGTGCTCCTCTTCAGGATGCTCTCCACGCTGCCCGTCTGCGTGGGCGGATCGCTGGCCTGCGGATACAGTTCAGAGTGGCGGAAGTAGCGCGGCATGGAGAAGTCAAATGCCTTAGTTCGCATGCAATTCGCCGTCTGGATGGACTGAAGACTCTGCGACTCGCGGTACATCTCGATTGAGGGCGTGTCGGCGTAGTTCTTGGGTAATGTGGTGAAGGAGATTGACGGAATTTCCGGCGTCATACTGATCTGACTGTAGGACGATGTAATGGTGAAGATGTCAGTCTCGCTGCTGGGTCTGATGGGCAAATGAGGAACGCTCTGCACATGCTTCAAGCTTCGCGGTCGCTCTGGCGGCACCAGAAACCTCGGCGCTCTCTGCGTGCGATCCTCAAAGACAAACTCATCCTCCTCAGCTATTGAGGAGAACTTCCTGATGCTCACTGCACCCAATTTTGGTAACTCTTCAGCCTCACCTTTCTCGTCATCTTGTTGGTGGGAGAGAAAAAGTGGTGGAAATATTAGAGAATTATTCATACTATCTACGAAATAATTTATTGTATCTGATAAGCTCACGACTATTAAATGACTCTGTCACAGTATTACACTAAACTTCTGATACAGTCAGGAGGTATCGAACCCATGATAATGATTTAGCTTATGTACTGCAAATTGACCAATTTGAGAGTTAATCTTTTCTCAGTCAGAGACTTACAATTGATGGCAATTTTCTACACAACTGAAAGGTGCAAAGTGCATCAAGAGTGCAGTTCGTGCAGAAAAACAGGTGTTTTTGCAATACAGAGAGAATTCTCGATAGAGTAGAACACCCCCTGACATTGTGACGAAGAGAGAGCAATTAAAGCATATAAAAGAATTTCATTGAGCAGAGTGTTAGTGCGTTTTAGTACAAGTGTTTCTTCTGCAATTACTTTGTTAAAATTGGTTTATGGTCAGTGACAAAGGTACAGTGTTAAGCGTAAATTGTGTGGTTAGAAGAGTGTAGGCGACAGAAAAGCTTGCACAGGTAATTGAAGCAATTGAATTCCTTAGGAGGATAGAACCTACCTTCGAGTACGCATGCAATTTATTAGTTCCAGAAACGATAGTATCTGTTTGGCTTAATCGAATGTCTTTGAGCGCTTTGTTTTTTTTTTGAGAAAGTGAAATTCACAAATTTTTTGCAGCCATTTGTCTCGTTAAAAGTCCCCACCGAAAGAAATGTCTCTCAATTAATAACAGGCCTTAAAACCAGTGAGACAATTAATATCACCCAATTTCACTTGACACCACGTCAGTATCGCTTTTTGCTACTGTTTGTCTTTTTTTTTGCAACTGAAGGGATAGAAAAGGAAGAGAAGAGAGATGTGAAGGAGGCTTGAGAGAGAGTGTCTGTTGCGGTATCTCTTTTGGGAGCGAAAGAGGATAACTTTGGTATGTATTCAGAGGTGAATGGAGACACTTCTTTTTGTGTTAGAATATGCCATCAACCACGGTATTTATTGGTCGTTACCTTCCAGGCGCGACAAAAGCTTTTCCTCAGCATCGGTTTTTTGCTCTTGTTGAACTTTTGTGATATTGTGTTGTGTGGTCGATTGTTGGTGTGTGATAAATGTTGGCTTTGCAGAAAGATTCTTACTTATTTTCTGTGAATGCTCATGAAAAATTTGTGAGTTTCGGAACACGGCCAAAATTTCCGGTGCCAAAACTGGAACATTCGTTTGGATATCACGATGAAAATCATCCTCGTGGATTTTAGAGCTGGGCATGAGAGAGAAGACATTTTTACAAACTGCGCCTCTTGCCACAGTGCATCTCAATTAATCACTGGGTACCTTATTGTTGAGCAATTGCGCTGAATTCGCATTGGTTGGGCGCAAATTGGTGGGTTGTTGTTGTCCGCATTGGCTTCCGCTACCATGCCATTTTTCGCCTTTCCCGCCACGATATACTCATCTTCATCTGGATTGTAATGAGCTGAAAGGCATAGGTAAACATCATTATTTCTGGCATAAACACGCGCACGACCTCTCAAGGCTTCAACAAGTGGGAATGTTTTCGAGATGGTCATTGGGAGACGAGCGAATTATCATGCGACTCATCGCAGTTCTCGATAAATTGATCAATTAATCTGCGTTGCCTCAAACAATGTCAATTGCAGAAGAATGTCGAGAAAACCGACGCAATTTGCATAGATAAACGCCCCAATATAATGATGGCAAAAGACACATTTTTGTCACGCCATTCTTGTCGCATTCCTCTGTTGATGTGCACACAGGCAAATATGGAAAGTATGGTATTTATTCAACAACTCTCTGGTATTATCAGCTGCCAGAATAGCCCAGAACCTCAACAGTATAATGAATAGAGGAATTAAAATTACAAAAATACCCATTGATGTCTGTATTATTTCTGTACACTTGTCAGAGTTGAAAAACTGGGTTTCACTCGTGTATATGCCAATAATAACAATATATTGGGGATAATTAAATATTTGTGAATTTATCATGAAAGCTCTGTAAAAAATTTAATTCTCCGAAATTTTTTTTTCCCCATTTCACGTGACTCTGCTTAGATAGAATAGATAATGAAATGTTCTTGCTTAATTTCGCTTGAGCCACTCAGTCCGTGAAGGTTATTGAGTTGGTCTTCTTATCTTATCGCGTTATCTGTCTCCACGACAAGTCCAAGTTTCTTTCGATCGCGTCATCGACGCGGAAGAAATGTGAATTTATCCACAAATAGTGTAAAAATTAAACCAATACACGCTTCTTGACTACATTCTGCTATCTTGTCAGATAAAACATCTGAACTTTCCAATGCCTTCAGTACAATCTTCATGTTACGATCGTCAATTCTCTCGTAACTCGAATCACAGTCACTACAAACGTGCGAAGTTTACCCGGTCATCGGATTTCAATGTCCGATTTCACGTACTTGATCGCATTGAGATTTCCTCTTGAAGCTAAATATCAAGTTCATGTCTTAAACATGATGTATTTAGATAAGAATTACACAGAATCTCAATGGAAACGAGAAATCAATCCACTGATGAACATTCACAAAAGTCATGGCTCGCTTCTTGAGAAACACACTCTTCGCTCTTTCACTCTCCGCCAGTGGATTTAACACCAGCAAAATCAGCGCGACGGTGAATTTATGTGCTGCGATTGTATTGTATATGATTCGACATTGAAAAAATATTGTGCCCCTCTTTCTCTCCTATCGCTCAACATGATGATGGTCGTATGGAAAAGGTAGACGAGGTGCAATTAAGCGCTCGCTAGTAATTCTCACTGCTGTGAATCTCATTGCGATGCATGCTATTGATCAACAGACTCACCGATGCTCTCGTCATAGCAGAACTTTTCCTCAATACAGTGCCAGTAGAAATCCTCCCATATTCTGTTTGGATGGAATTTCAATTAATTTCGGAAACACACTTGATAAATTTTCCACACGCGCGACACCTTTTTGGATGAACAATCTAATCCCATTCACGAATACTTACGATTGCAGGCAGCGACACATTTTTTCTCCGAAATCACGTGATAATCCACATAGAGATGACGGTTTTTTTCTTTCTCACTATCACAACACTATCAAGGACCGTGTATCACAAGATTAACCTGCAAGTCACTTCTGCGGCGGCTCAGCGTGTCCGCGGCGGCTCCTCAGTCGGATAACTCTTCGTGGTTGCACTGCGTTGCGTAATCACGGGCCAGAGAGGAAGAAAGTAAATTCGGTGTGGTTACGGACTGCAAACAGATATTTTAGACCGAGTATGGCACTGCTGGTGCTTTCGTGGTTCGAGAAACAATGAGCATGAAGCGGTCGAAGCTTGAATTACACCTCCAAGGCACTCACACTCATCGCATTGGCCACACAGATATAACCACTTATGAGTTATGATCGCGTCGGAATAGAGCCATCCAGTCACACAATTTTACCCAGAGTCACATGGTTTTTGCAGGTTGTTTTTGTATCTCCCCAACTTCGGCTGTTCGCGCTTCTTTGGGAGGCGCTCCTGGTCGAGAGGCTGCCTTCAATTGATCGCGCCACGATCGTTGCTTATCAGTGGAAAACACCTCAAAACACTGACCGATAAGATAAGGCGAAACACTTGCAGAAATCCACTCTCATCCCACCACCGAATACGCACCACATTGAGCAGTGTTGCAAGTCGTGTCTAGGTATTTCAGCTAATTGCAGCCCATTGTCAGCGATGCCTTGGGAAATCCGGGATTGATCACAAAGCCAATATTCGAGCTGCTTCTCCCACTTGACTCTTGCCACTCTCGCCAATTAGACATAAAGCACTTTATAATGGGAGGTGTGTGAAAATTTGTCAGACACTTTTGCATGACTGACTCTTGCCTCGCAATTCGTGATAAATTTAATATGGGAATGGAAAATGGAATAAATTGTACATCATTACGGGAAGAAATTAGAAGATACTTAGGGTGGAAGGGAAACTCTAGCGAAGACGCTGAGGAATTGAGATTAAATCGATGGTGGAGCTCTTGCTGCTCACACCCGCACAAGTGGAGAGATCCCGAAGAGAAGTCTCACATACGCTTCGCTGAGATTCAAAAGTGATTAATGTCAGCCTCTTCTGCTGATACAGAGATGTTTTGGCGGTTTGACTCGAAGCAATTAGTTGGTGAGAGCTAATTTTCCTGATTGAACCAAAGTGCGATGGAGGAATTTTCGGTGTTTTCATCACCGGCGCCGAATGGCAATTTGTCAGCGGAAACTCACGACGATTACACACTCAATGATTACCCCCTTTAGCAGCCATTTCAATTAGGGAATGTCTGAGAATGTGAAATGCGATGTATCCATTTCACGATGAGGAAGCTCTTTTGCAGATAAATGCCACAAGAAAAGGAATCACACAAGTTCAAATTTGATTGTCATCCGATTTGCGACTGCAAAATTGCGTCTCTGAAGATATCTATTTGACGATGTCGTTACAATGATTCACACACACTTCATAATCAGTCTGCAAACAAACACTCAAATGCGTGTTTATTTCCGCAAGAGAAGCCACACAAACTTGTCTGGGAAAAATAACAAGATTTACAGAAATTGTACCTTTCATAAATTGAAGTTTAGTGCACATAAAGGTGTATGAAAGTTTCAGTCATTTACCATTTCAGTAAAGGGTCTCAAAAATAGTTGCAACATGACAAAGCCATTAATTATCTGAGGCACTTTCGTTCAATGAGGAATTCGATCAATTTTGCAGTGCACAATTTTTCTGCAATTAATTTCTACAGTGCATGAGACAGAAGAGAAATCCATTATAATTTTCCTCTCAGTGGTCTCTGTGGGAATATTTTTTCCGATTTTCCCATAATTCGAAAATATTAATATTTATTGTAGTTATCTGTATAATAATTGGAGCATAAAAAATTACGACATTTAATTAGCATCCGCAAAAATGGTCCGAATTAATGATAAATTAAATTTTAATCACGTGTTGTTCAACACACACAAAAAAAACTGAATTACATCAATTGTGCCACGGAGGGATTAAGTAAAATTCTCTTCAGTGATTGTGAAATGAATAAATATGATATTGCGAGAAATTTGTATTCTCAGGATTATTTCGCAAGCATATTTTTTGCAGGATGAAAAATATCGACGTAATTCGGCTTAAAAGTGAAAAAAACAAACAAAGATGAAATTGATCCAGAAATCTTAAATTAAGGGAAAATGTGATTTTTCACCTCAATTGAGATTTTTTTTTCGACTCCCTAAACAGACAACAAAAGCAGAAATCTCACAACAATAGAGCACAAGAAGATAGACGATTTAGTGCAAGCAATTTCCCTTTAATCGAGAAATATTTTCCCACAACAATGTTTCACCAGCGAGGCAAATTTCCCAAGTCAGTGTGAGAAGGCATAAAATACGACCTCCTGTGCTTTTGGCTCCTTCCGTCATGTAAAAGAACCGGGCGAGGGAAAATGAAGCAGATGAGCTTTTCTTTTATGTGTGTATATTTGGTTATGCACTTGCTTGGCTTCTGGTTGACAGAATAATTAAATTTTTTTCCCTAACTGGAGAAAAATCTACATCGTTCGCTTCATGAACAGTGAGTTCATTTTTTTTTCTTCTTAGAAGTGCGCAATCTTGAAATTTTTCCTTCCTTCACTCCTGTTTTTGTCGGCATCTTACAAGTGTATTATTCATGAGCGATGGATATCATGAATTTGGGGTATTTTCGCAACTAATTTATTCAATAAGAAATTTGCATCTTTTCATCGCCCCCCCAAAAGAGTGCTTTGGGTATTGATTTCACGTGGTTTGCCTGTCCTCATTAGTATTGGGAGCCACTTTAATGGCATTTCCCCTTTGACTAGGGCAATCTGTTTTCCTCCTCGTGTCTTCCACTTACAAGGCAAGAGATTTCCCGGCCAATCCTCTTGTTGGCGGAGATTCTCGTTTGGGGCGCACAATGGAATCTAATCAAAAGAGTTAAGAATGATGGTCATTATTCGACGAGCTCCGCCACTTTCCCGGAAGGGATGACAGTAGCGACATGATAAAGTGGATGTATGTAATTTCCCACTCACTATTATTCCCGCTCTTTTCGCATGTAAGACCTAAGAATTAATGTTCTGCAGAGCGTGTGTGCTCACGGCATTGAATGAAGACAAACTGTAGCCTCCAGCGAAGAATATTTACGACACTAGGATAATGTGCTTTTAAAGTCACAAATTTTCATAATTTTCCTCCGCAAACCCTCCCATATTCTATGCCATAGACTTCTTTCACGTTGAACAGAATCGATGGCAATAAATGCCGCGGCAAATGGTGCAAATTGCCACCATAGAATTGTACATATTTAACATTTTTCTCCGGTTCGCTGAATAAGTGTGAGTCACAGTGGAAAAGTCGCCATTATATCGAAGGGAAATTGTTTTGAGAGTGGACATCATGGGCAAATAGCAATTTTGGCAGAAAATAAATAAAGTCAGCATAAAACACACGAAACATATTAAATAGCATTGGGGTCATTTTGCCGCCAGCATTTCGCATAGGACTTAAAATTTATAATGCGCACTCTGTTTTGCCTCTGTTCTAGCGCTATATTGCTCTAAAGGATACATCTTTGGCTTGCGATGAAAGGCACTCTTTTTTCCATATCATTGTGCATCCCTACTGTATGCGATGGCCCAAATGGGCCCTTTTGTTATGTCGTCTGAAAGCAAAGGAAACGCTATACTTTTCCTTCTTGCCTCAAGCTTTCTTGGAAGAATCTTAGCATGTACGTATAATATTACATCTGTACATCAGAAAAGGTTGAATGAAACAAACTTCCTCTGATGGATTATCCCTTAATTCCATATAAAATCTTCTCAAGATAATTGACTAATAAAGTGGAAGCTTTGGAAAAAGGTATAAATCATTGAGTTTGTGATATTTTCCAACACTATTCGCAGGAAAGTGGGGAGCGTTAGTGGATAAACGAGGACAAAACCATGAATGTACATATGTATTTAAACTTAATTACGAATGGAGCGTTTTGGTCCTTCACACTCGAATACTTGTCTCAATTTGAGGCCACTATCGCAATATGTGGGCATTCGTCTGCTAATTGCCAGAGGGACAAAATCCCGCATTGGCCAGATTGGAAATCCTCCCTTCGGAATTTTCACATTTTGCCCATCTTTGCTCCGTTCCGGATTATTAGGCAAATGGACATTAATAAATTACAATATCCACCACATCGCCCTCGACACTGCAATCCATCGTGCATTGTGTCACGATTGGATACCTGGGCGTTTAATTAAAACTTTCCTTTTTCAACTTTAAATGTTTCCCCTTGTGTACGGTAATTTCCGTTGAAACTTGTTATGTTTCTCACTCACTGAATTTGAATCACACACCGCAAACTTTTGGCCCAAACAATTGTGGTGGCTTTCGCAGGAACAAGTGGGTGAAATGCCATTCAAGAGGGTGTGAATTCGCTCCCAGAGCGAGTTTTCACAGATATACAAGTCTTGAAAGACATCCCCAACCTCTTTTCCAACAAAATTACAAACACAACCGCACGAACGAGGAGACTTTAAGGAAACTGAGCGTGAGCTCAGTGTACATTGCTCAGTGTATCGACATTTTTGTTTACCACTGTTGCTCTCCTCGGATAATTAATTTACTCCATAGCCAAAGTGAGAGACAAAACCAAATGCTGTGCTTTATTGGGAAAACTAGTAATTTCGTCACTTTTAGTTTGACAGTTTTCAAAGCTGATCAAAGAATAATAGCGGTGAAATAAAAAATAAATAAAATTTCATGATATTTCACAGTTTTCAATTAATTTTGTGTGAGAATTTTGTAGCGCAGAGGATGAAAATTCTTTGTGCTGTTTTGAAAATTGTGATCTTACAGAGAGGAATACCAAGAAGGACTGAAAAAATGTAGTTCTCTCTCTAAACTATTACACAATGTTCTACAAAGTCATAGAAAATTCTTTTCCTGCATCTCTCTCTCTCTCTCTCTTTCTCAACTGAATAAAGTTGAATGGGTTTGAAAAGTCTTTCGTTTGCGGTGACCAAACGAAAAGACTTTGTCTGAAATTGCGTTTACAGTGTGGTCTCAGAGCAGCAGAAAGTTTTACAAGAGATATCCAGCATGAAATGAAGAAAAAATCCACCCAATAAATGCGATATTACATTTGGCTGGTCAAACAGGAAAGTTTCCTCTTGAGTCAGTGGAATACACTCCGGATGGGGATTGGAGAAGTGTATACGTTTCATTTTCAAAGTGTTTAAACTTGTAACCTTATTTCACGTCAGATACAATCTCGGTGGAACAATTTAAGAAATGTTTGACTTCAACGAGAGTCAAGGTATTTCTGGAATCATCGCTGGGCTTGATTTTGGGTGAAGCAACGGAAGGTAATTTTCTTATTAAATCCAGAGCGATGTGGATGGCAACAGCGAGGCAAACATCCATCATCCTGGCTCCTTGTTTATAAAAACGCGTTAGACAATAAAATATGAATTGATGTACCTTCCCGACCTCGGGGATCCGCGTGTGATTTATGTGGTGATAAATAGCTGTTCGAGGACCGATGAGCATATGCGAATCCGCATGATCTACAAATTCACGTTTATTTATG